TCATTAGCAGAACCAGTTCAAATATGACAACAGTATTCCATACAAGGGACAAATAAGAGATTTTTAGAGGTAGAGAACAGAATCAGAAGATAATGGCAAGCACAATAAAGTGAAGCAACTTTAGCAGATACTAACTTTGCAATTGATTGTATATATGGTTTCCATAAGTCAATAGTGAATGATAATCCAAGAAGACATAAAGAAGATGTCTCAGTGATTGCTGTGTTGTTTATGAGAGAAATTTTGTTAAAATACAGTCATAATCACAACAAAGAATAATCGAGCTTCCTTTACAGGCAAACACATGCTAAAGTGTGCTGTCCTGTGATGTAAAAAGTTAATGGTTTATTTAATAAACCTATACTTTATAGCTTTTAGATTACTCCATTACTTAAAACCTTCCCATTATTTGAAATCCTAGAGTTGGTGTAAAAATGATTTGATGATTTGAAATTTAATATTTTATAAAACTATTAATATATCACAAAATATATAAACAGTTTCTTTGTTAAAGGCTCTCCTGTATTCAAGGATGTCATGTCAAAGATCATGTGTATAATGTTTTTGTCACTTTTCAAATCTATGAGTAGACTTTTTTCTGATATGGATTAAAACTGATGCTTGATATCAATGGGCTTAACTGACACATAGTGAAACATCTCCTCTAAAACAGAAACCATCATATGTACGATTGAGGGAAAAGATTCATCATAGGTTCTTTACTCCTTTTTCTCAACAATAAAATGTTTTTCTGTCAGTTATCATGCTTTACATGAAAGCATTGTCTGCATTAATAGATTTTTTTTCCTTTGTTGTTTTAGGGGTCGTTCACAAATTATGATGTTACGCAAAAAAAACAAAATTTTCAAGACCCTACCCCTTTGTCACAAAGTATTGCAAAATATTAAACCCTTCTCTCCCACCTCCTTTTGTCACACCACACTAAATTTTTTATCTTTTTTCTTATTTATAAAAACACAAAAAGTATTTTTCTCTTCAGTTAAATTTTTTTTACTATTTAATATTTTCCCAAACAGAATCAAGATGTTCTGTAATAAAAAAAAAAAATTGATTGTTCTTGTAAACAGCGTAGCCTAAAATAATCAATAAAGCTTGATTTTTCTTCTTGTAAAATAATTTTCTCTACCCAAATGTGATCCATAACTTTTGTGAGGTGAAATTAGTCCTGAGAGCTGGTGTGATAGTGGGTACATTCTTTAAATCTATTTCTGTGTGGTACATTTGTAGCAATTAATAAAGAATCCAAAGAAAAAGTGATGAAGTTATGAATGGCCATTTCTATTGTTTTTTGATACCTGGGCTTTTGATCTAGTCCTCCGTCAGTAAACATAACAATTGGTTTTGTATTATCATTCAAATGACTCAAACGAGTTCATATAATTTATGTGTCAAGTTCATTATTAAGTTATGTATTAAGTTCATATAATTTATGTGTTAAGTTCATTATTAAGTTATTTATTAAGTTGATATAATCATAAATGGAAATAGTTTATATAACCGAACGGTAAATCATATAATATTGCATAATCTCTTGCGTAAGAATAAGCAGTGGACTTCGAATGATTTGCTGAAATAAAGGTAGGACCAGAGTTTTCTTTTTTACTGAATCCATTTTTATCAATTTTCGGCGCAGCATATATTGATGGAATAAGTTTATGGCATAAAGCAATGACAAAATTGTGATCAGGTAATCTTACTGTATACTCCATATGCATGATCAAGGAAGCTTGTAAATAAGCTGCTGGGAGACCAATTATCACTTTTGCTTTGTCATCTTGGCTCACTAAAGCAACTTCTGCTGGTCCCAAGAATGAAGCCAATTCCTTTAAATTCTCAATTGAAGCAAAACAATTCTTCATGTTTGGATGATTTTTATGAAGGTCTTTTCCTACTTTAATGAGTCTTACAGGAACAGCAGTGACATGCTTCTTGCCATCCATTGTGTGAGAATTTTTTGGTACAAGATGATAATTGACTGTTGATCTGCCAGTTTTAAACCCTTGATTTTGCAAATCTTCTGTTAACATCAAGAGATTTAATTATTCTCAAAGTCTTTGTCAATGTTGACGCATCTTTGTCAACTGTTTGAGGCACTGTGAGTGGCAATCTGAATAATTGTTGATAGTAATTCCGGTTGACTTTAATAACAGAAGGGTATCCAGCCTTTTCATAATTTCTTAATTTTGAGGCAATCTCGTGATGATCTTTTAAGGTCTCAGGCAATATTTTTTTCTTCCTTTCTTGGGACACTTTCTGTTGTTTATGGCTATCCTCAAGTAATTTTAATTTTTTTTTTTTGATCTTATTTTTTCTTTATCCAAAATTTTCATTTTTGATTTATCACATTGAGACAGCATCCCACATTTTTCTTGAAGCAATAACATAATAAGTTCTGATGTTGCTTTTGAATTATTGATGGGTTTGAAGAAGCTTGATATAGTTCCCTTGGCATTTTCTTTGTTTTTTGAAGCTCCAGATTCTTAATTTGTTATTTATTTTGAAAAAAAATAAATTTAAAAAGTTTTAATATCAGTCATTTAATATATATTTTCTAAGCAGTGACATCTAAAATAATACTTTTTTTATATAAAATGATTCTTCTTTTGAGACCCAACATGAAATACTTTAGAAGAACTTTTTTTGATAATTAGTTATAGGAACCCGTCTGATGTTTAAGGGTCTTGAGCTACCCTTAAAAATATATATTTTTTAATTTTTTATTCTAGTATTATTTTTTTATATAGAACACATTTAGAGGGTGAAAGCTGACATTTAAAAAAAATTTATTTTAATGGGAACCCTAATATATATACATATATATATATATATATATATATATATATATATATATATATATATATATATATATATATATATATATATATATATATATATATATATATATATATATATATATACACATATACATATACACATATACTAAAGAACCAAAATATTTTGTCCAATACTGTATATGTGTATATATACATATACACATATACAGTATTGGACAAAACAAGTGCAACCAAATAATGATAATTTAGTTTCTTTATATAAAAGTGCTGCATTTTTTCAATTTAGAGAAATAACTATATAACTGTTTAGAGACAACGTTCTTCAAGTTTTATTTATCACAAAGTTCATTATTTGTACACGAAAATTAATAAATTAATCAAAAATATTAAAAAAAGTTGATTTCCTTCTGGACAAAACAAGTGCAACTCCACAAAATGTTGACCAAGCTATATTTCGCTATCAATATTTCGTGGCGAATCCTTTGTTGTCAATCACAGCCTTGCATCTTCAAGGCATAGATTCAATCAGGTGATCAATGAAACTTTGTGGAATTGCTGCCCAGGCCTTTTGGATTTGTTCAAACAGTTGACCCTTATTACGAACACCTTCACGATTAATTCTGCGGTTGACAATCTCCCACAGGTTCTCGATAGGGTTGAGATCCGGAGATTGAGGCGGTCAATCCATCACCGATAGGTGGTTGTCTTAAAACCACTGCTTGACTACTTTTGCAGTGTGTTTCGGATCGTTGTCTTGCTGAAAAACCCATTTTATTGGCATATTCCATTTAGCGTGAGGTAACATAACATCTTTCAGGATATTTTTATACATGAAATGCTCTATTATTCCATTGATTCGATGTATTGGACCTAGACCGTCAGCAGAAAAATACCTCCAGGCCATTACATTGCCTCCACCATGCTTCACGATCTTATGGCAGTAACGTAAATCGAGGCATTTTCCGGCCGGTCGACGTACACGGCAAATGCCATCGCACCCAATGATGTTGAACTTCGATTCATCACTGAACAGGACAGTTCGCCATTTCTGCACATTTCAGTCAGTATGAGATGTATACATCTCATATTGCTATAGTAAACAGGAGTCTTTTCTTTTGGTTCTTTAGTGAAATCAGCGATTTCTTTGCAGGGCGTCGAGAAAACAATCCGTCGAGAAAACAATCCAGATGACAGCACGTCGTCTGATTGTTTGGTCCGATACAGGCAGCTCTAATTGCTTTTGTATCTCGACTGATGATATCCAGGAATCCTTCTTGATGGATCTGACGATCATAGAATCCTCTCTATAAGTGGTGGAAAGCGGTCTTCCACCTTTGTTATCTGCTGCTAACTTCCTTTCTTAGTTCCAATCCAAGACTGTTGGGAGTCATTTTTGCACTTAAAGTCATAAAAATAATAAAAATAAAAAATCACGCTTCTCAAGGCTTACAGTGTAACATTTACCTTGTGTTGATACAGTAATGCTCTGTGGAACACAACGTCTTGGTTGGATGTGGACTGTATTGATGTAATGAAACACTTGTTGTATTTCACTATGTATATGTATATATATACACACACATACACACACAATGAAAAAATAAATTTAAAAAGCTCGACTGAAAATTTCACTTGTAATTTCCTTTATAAAATTTCAAGGTATCATCTAGGTTTCGCAAATCCTGGGTTATCCAAATGTCTTAGATTTTCTTTGTATTTCATCAACTTCATAAATTCAATATATGCTTCCTTGTTTATTTTAATAATGTTGTTTTAACAACTTTAGCAAAATTTGCCTCAGAACAGCTTCAATTGTATGAGATAATGCATCATTTATTATATATATATATATATATATATATATATATATATATATATATATATATATATATATATATATATATATATATATATATATATATATATATATAATAGAATTTTAAATTTACTATTATCTGGCCACCTTGTTTGAAGGTTTGTGTTTATGGATTAAAAGCTCTTGTTTTTGATTTTTGATTAAGAGATTTAAAAAAAATATCTCTCATGGTAAAAATAAAAATACAACAGAAGATAAAAAATGTTCTTTACTTTCTAGGAAAATCAGTTTTAAAAATGTTATTTTTAAACAAATATTTGTATTGATCATTATTGATTATAAAAATTGTATGAAATATTTTTCTTTAGGTCTACTGATAGCCAATTAAAACTCTGGGATGTAAATAATGCTCAGTGTTTGCGAACCTACACGGGACACTCCAATGAAAAGAATTTTGTCGGATTAGCAACAAATGGAGATTACATTGCATGTGGTAATTAGAAAAAGAGTTTAATTTCTTTATCAATATTAATTTAAAAATCTGTTATATAATGAATTGTATTTTTAGGTAGTGAAAACAACTCGTTATTTTGTTACTACAAAGGTGTCTCAAAGCAACTCGTCACTTATAAATTCGATACAATTCACGGACCTTTGGTATGGTTTAGAAACCCTTGTATAAGTTTAAATTCCACTCATTTTTAAAGATTTTTATTGGTTTTAGTTGCAATTTGTTTGTTGCTTTGAAGTTGTTGATGAAAAATTGTTAAACTTTTCTTTAATGATTATTCAAATTTGTTTATATCGTTGTTCAGGATAAAGAAAAACGTGTCGAAGAATCTAATGAATTTGTTTCAGCTGTGTGTTGGAAACCTGTAAGTTGCTTCTTTTTTTAAGAATCTGTTTATTATATTGCTTAATGTATTGTAAACAGGATGGTCGGAGATATTTCTAGTGGGGTGCATGCGGTAGTTAAAACTTTACAACAAGAAAAGATGCCACGCCGAACATAAAAATAAAAAAAGAGATGCTCAATGTGGAATTTTTATTGAATCATGTCTCATTTATGTATCATACTATATAAAATAATTAATGCAATAGATAAATTAAATTAAATTTAACGTGTTTGGAATTACCTCGAGGAGGTAACCACGCGACCTTCTAGCAACAACGAATTCGTGTGTAATTACAAAATCGTGGTATAATGTAACCATGGTAATTAGTTTAGATTTAACGAACATAATTTTTAAAAAACTACAAAGAACATGTGGAAAAAAGTTACTTTTCAACCTTTGTTTTAAACAAGTACTTAATCAAATACATATCTAATTTGAATACTGAACTTTTGGTGTTTTTTATTTTAGGGTTCTAATGTAATAGTTGCAGCAAACAGTCAAGGTTTAATAAATGTAAGTATTTTGCGGAATAATGTCTGTTTCTGATATAGTAGTTTTACTTGCTATCATACTTTTCTAAGGTTTTTATATTGTTGTTCTTAACCCTTGATTTCATATTTTATACTTGTTTTTGTATTTTATAGGTTCTGGAATTAATTTAATGTCAATCTTTACGCGTCATTCTTCAATATAGTTGTTGTTTTCTGTTGTTGAAGAAACTTTTAGAAGAAAAATTAAAATTTCTCCTTTGTTCTGTATTTTTACACACAAAATTTGCACATCTTTATATACGGTAAAATTGAGAGTGGCTATTCTGTAGATTTTCTCATTTCCGTTCTCAGTGCTTTCAAAGGTTCCAATCGAATATTCTCGTGTTTGTTTGTTGTTTTTTTTTGTTTTTTTTTTTAAATATATATTTTGTGTTGCCAGAAGTCCGAAAATTTTTTTATTGCAAAAATCATAAACGTTTAATTTTTTTATTTTTTTTTTTAAGGTTATATTTCAAACCTTTGTGAAATAAATTATATTTTTTTAAATATTTACGTTCCAACATCTACATATTTTTTATTACGAGTTTTGACATTATTATTAAAAATGATAGTTGAAAAATATTTTTCCAGATTTAGATGACGAACCATTCGTCGTCTCGAATGGTTCGAATATCATTCGTTGTCTAAATCTATAAAGATCTTATTATGATTAAGAAGATTTTAAAAAATTCAAATTTAGATAAGACTATTAAAACAGAGTAATTAAATTATTATAATTTAAGGGAATGGAACACACAGTGCGTTGTTTATATGAGTTAATTACAGTAAAAAAACATTTAGATGAGTTCTTAAAATTTCTGGAAATCAAAATCTTAGTAATTAAACGATAATTACTACCTATACATCAGGTATTATCTTATTCCGGATATTTCCGAAATTCCAGGTATTTTTTTCACCTTTTAGTTTAGTTTAGTAGTCCGGATATCCAAAGCATTTTCCATACATACATGTTTAAATATATATTTTTGTATAGTTCCATACATACATGTTTAAGTATACATTTGTTTTTTAAGCTTTTTCACTTATCACGCGTAGATAAAAAGTTTGAAAAAAAAACAAAAAAATAACTCAGCTAAAAGCAAAATTTAAAGGAAAATAAGGGAAAACATATTCCGAATATTTTTATCCAAACAATTTTCCGGATTTTAAAAATATGACCTGGATAATCTATATATACATAAATTAACGTTTTCTGTTTGACTTTTTTTCTCTCTTTCCCAATTTGAGTATATTCAGAGAAAGATTTTGGAAATGTAAAAACTATTTCTTTATTGGCACAGTAAGTCGATTAAATTTTTAAGTTAATAAAAAAGGCTTGTAAAATCTATTAGCAATGGCAAAATTTTTGTTTCCTAAATTTGAAAAATAAAAAAGTCAAAACGCCAAAGGCGATAAAAAATAATATAAAAAACATTGCAATGTTAGTAAAATCACGCAAGCCTGTTCATGGCTAAAGCTAAAACATCGTCAAGGATACGTACTTCAACGGCTGTAACATCGTACCTGGTTACTAGGCTGAATAGATAATATTCGGAATTTTTTAAATTCTGGAATAATAAGAAACTTGAATCTTTCGTGCGTATTTTACACAAAAAAGTAGATATAGAATAAATAAAATAAACAAACAGCATAAGAAGTAACATTGGATTTTGTTTATATAAGTTTAATTATTTGCTTAATATGGCTACATCACTTTCTTGTGTTGTCATTGGTTATTCCAATTACTCAACCAAATTTAAAAAGTGGAAAAAAGCTATTTGTAAAATTCATAAATGTTCAAAAGAAGATCCTAATTGCTACTGTTCTAAACCATTTAAACTTATTCCTTTTCCTACTGAAGAAAAAGACCCAGAGCGTCGATCCATTTGAAAAAAAATTGATAAATCGGGTAAATTCAGACAAATCTCAATGGGAAGCTTCTAATTACAGTAGAATTTGTTCGGAACATTTTATTCATGAAAAATTTGAATATCCTACAGAACTATTGGGATACAACGCATTAAATAAAATAATAATTTGTTCCTTCTATTTCATCTAATTGTAATCAACCAATAAATAAACGAAATAACAACATAATTTCTGAATCATTTTCAATAAAAACAGACACTATATCCGCCTCTACTTGTAAAAATGCATATGTGATTACAGCAGTTAATAAAATAAAAGCTAAAATGTTTAAAAAAAAAATAGTTTAAAGAACTCTACTTTTAAAACTAAAATCCAAACAAACATTAGCGAAAAATTTTTGGTAATGCATAATAAAGTTTTTCCTGTTTTTTCTTCAGAAATATTGACAGACGATCTTGTTACTTTAGCATCTAAAAGTCAGTTTGTATCAAATACTGAAAAAAATATTCAATTAAACTCAATTATTTTGACTCAAACGGTCTTTTTAATTTTAACACTGGTCAGGTCAGGTTTATCCTGCTACTGGTAACATGTAACCCAATACAATCTGCTTCATGTCCTGCTGCCTTGTAGGATATGCCTTTTTAGGCAAAGGCTAGGAGATGCAAACTTCGACATAAAACACCCCCTGTCTGGGGCTCTTGCTTGAGTAAAGGCTAGAGATGGTGTCTCGATAAAAATACTCATCTTGGGCAGATGTTAAATGCATCCGGCTGCTGTCTTGTAGAAGGCCTCCTAGGCAAAGACTTAAAGGGTAAACAGATTCTATCTGTTGACCAGCCTCGCACCCCTTCTTCATCTAGGCTGGCGCAGATGTATTTTTAATACATTGTTTCCAGTTTAGGATGTTGAACGCTGGATCTTCTTGACTCGATTCATGGGTTTTGCTTGTGTCTCTGTTTTTATGACTAAGCAGCTCATTCTATTATCTCCAAATGAGGGTACAGCTCTAAAACTCAGTTTTATGGTTCTGAGGCCGGCTGGTAGTCAGGTTTCCCGAACTCTGTGGTAGCTCTCATAGAGGCTGATTCCATCAACAGCTGAAAAATATCAGAATACTAACAGTGCCATGTTGCGCATGGATGGTGTCCCTGTTTGTACTTTCGGTGTGCATTGCCAAGGCCACATTGGAGCCCTTTGTTACGGCATAGGGTTTATTAGTGGAAATGAGGCAATTGCTTGAGCTATAAAACAGTGTACTGAGTACTATCTATGTTTCGAGTCAAGTTCTATAACAAATTTAAAAATGAATAAAGTTACAAAAACTATAAAACACAAAAAACCACAGTCATCACCAAGTTCGCTAAACTTATCATTCACCAATATTCGTGGTCTTCGAAGTAAGTTTTCTTTTGTTGAGTCTTATCTCTTGCAAAGTTCACCAGACCTACTTGCTCTTTGTGAGACTAATTTGAGTTCAGCTGTTTCATCTTGTGATCTTAGTGTTGATGGTTATCTTCCTTTAATTCGTAAAGACTCTAACAGTCACATGCTTGGCCTGGGCATTTACATTCGTAAGAATTCACCCATTTGTCGGGAAACTAAGTTTGAATCCACAGACTACTCTTTTATGTGCTTTCTTTAGTACCACTTCACTCTATCACCTTTCTCTTTGTTCTATATCGCTCTCCCTCGTCTCAAGACTGCACTCTTCTTGATGTTATTTCTGATTATATTGACCAAGCCCTCATTCTTTATCCATCAGCCAGTATTGTTGTTGTCGGTGACTTTAATGTTCATCACACTGAATAGCTTGGCTCTAGTGTCAGTGACTCTGCAGGCATTAAGGCCCGCAACTTTTGTCTTTATCAATCCCTAACTCAAATAGTCAACTTTTCAACTCGCTTTCCAGACAACTCGAATCATTTACTTTCTCTACTCGACTTATGTCTTGTTTCTGATCCTAGTCAGTGCTCAGTTTCTTCACACTCACCCCATAGGTGCTTCTGATCATGGTTTGGTCTCTCTAATACTATTATCTCATTCTTCTTTATCATCAGAATCCCCCAATCCTTCCTATATTTATGAACGGTAATGTACTCGATGAGTCTCCTACCCTTCATCTTCTAGGATTAACTCTTACTTCTGATCTTTCTTGGAAACCTTATATCAAATCCGTTGCAAAATTAGCATCTGCTAAAGTTGCTTCTCTTTATCGAGTTCGTCACTTTTTTACTCTGGATTCTATTCTCTATCTCTATAAATCTCAAATCCGGCCTTGTATGGAATACTATTGCCATATCTGGGGCGGATCTTCTAATGATGCCCTTTCTCTTTTAGACAAGGTGCAAAAACGCATTGTAAACATAGTTGGACCTGCTCTTGCAGCCAACCTTCAACCTCTGTCACATTGTCGTAATGTTGCTTCTCTTTCTCTTTTCTACAAATACTATAATGGTCACTGCTCGAATGAGCTAGCGTCTCTTGTGCCATCTACTAAAATTCATTCTCGTGTTACTCGTCATTCAATTAAGTCTCATTCTTTTTCTGTTACTGTTCCTAAGTGCTTTAAAAACTCTTATTCGTCTAGTTTCTTTCCTCGAACATCAGTTCTTTGGAATTCGCTTCCTTCATCTTGCTTTCCTGATTCATACAATTTGCAATCTTTTAAGTCGTCTGTCAATCGTTATCTTGCTCTACAATCTTCATCTTTTCTCTTCCAGTAACTTTCAACACTAATTAGTGGTTGCTTGCAGCCTTGTTGGAAGCGAAGATAATTAAAAAAATAAAAATTAAAAAAAAAAAAAAAAAAAACACTCTATGCTTTAATTATCAACTGTTGTTTAGAAATTAAGAAGTTAAAAGCTGAAAATATTAAACTTCAAAACAAAATTATTAGAAACTTCTATCAAACACTAATGTAAAGTTCTATACAAATCTTGGTTCTTTAGAGTTATTTAATAAATTGCATGACTTTATTAGCCCTTATGTTAAAAAACAATTTAATTCTGTTAATGTTAAAAGAACTGTCAGTGGAACACTAAAAAATGTAGGACGTGCAAGAAAATTATGTTCACAAGATGAGTTTCTGCTGACTTTAATGAAACTTCGGTTAGGATCATTTAACAAAGATCTTGCTAGTCGTTTTTTTTAATATTTCTATTAGCACATGTTCCAAAGTATTTCATTCTTTGATAAGAACATTAGCAGAAGTTTGTAAGCATCTAATATTTGTACCAGACCTTGGCACGTTAAATGCAACAAGCCCTTTATGATTTAAAAAGTATAAAAATTTGGAAGCTATTATTGACTGTTCAGAAATTTTTCATACAAACCCCAAGAAATTTGGAATTGTAAAGTGTTATTTAGTCTGAATATAAACACCACAATACTTTAAAGTTTTTAATAGGTGTTGCTCCTAATTCTTTTATTGTTTATATCAGAAGGTTATACCAGTCGCATTTCCGACAAAGCGTTAATTATGGATTGTGGTTTTCTTGATTTATTATCTCCTTTTTTCTATAGTTATGGTAGACAAAGGGTTTAATTTGCTCGATGAATGCATTGCTCGAC